TATCAGCAAACAATCAAAATTACAAAATTTAGAGTGTATAAAACATGGGTTTATGGTTAAGCAGAAATAAAATAGGATTTTAGGCTTGAGATTAGAATTGACTATTCTATCCTAAGTCTTCTTTTCGTGAAATTTTGCAGGGACTTATTTTAAAGAACAAGATCAATGATACATTTGGTGTCTGCCAGGCCTGTGGGAATGTTGTGCAATTCCTTCGCCTATACCCCTCAGGTCAGAGGGCTGCATCCAATTCTCACTCATCGGCGTCCAACTCTCAGCCCTCTGCGGTCAATGAATTGGATGCGGCAAGAATAGCTGCGACAAGAATAAAAGACCTCATATTAAGCGGTGAGGTTACATTTTCAGAGGGCATGAGGGCTTGCACATGGCTAGAGACGCACCACCTTGGAGCTCTTGCATTTGTGGACTTGCCGCACGATGATCTCATCACTGTGGTAAAGGATCAATCTTACCTTTGATCGACATCCATAGGTATACTGGATTGTTAGTATGTTAAATTTTCGTGTATGATTTGTTGTAATTTAACTCAATTTTCGTCAGTGATTATTAGCTTTATTTTATTTATTTCAAACAGCTTGTTTCTTATTTTAAATTATTAATTTTGTGTTTTTAGTGATGATGCGGTGGAAGAGCTTTCTTGTCGTCTCTGGTGGAAGTTGATGCTGAGGAACTTGATTAAGGTGGTCTAGATTTTTATGTTTTTTATGTCAAGATGGAGGAACTTGGTAGATGGAGGAACTTGTTTGCTTTTATGTGGGAAGTGTTCACGTACTTTTTTTGTTTCTATGAATGGCGGATTTAATCATGCACTCATTTTGTTTCCATGAATGGCGGATTTAATCATGCACTCATTTTGTTTTTATAAATCCGCCATTCATAGAAACAAAATGAGTGCATAATTAAATCCGCCATTCATAGAAACAAAATGAGTGCATGATTAAATCCGTCATTCATAGAAACAAAAAAATTACGTGAACACTTCCCACATAAAGACAAACAAGTTCTTCAATCTAACAAGTTCTTTCATCTTGACATAAAAAACATAAAAATCCAGACTGCCTTAATCAAGTTCCTCAGCATCAGCATCAACTTCCACCAGAGCCGGTAAGAAAGCTCTTCCACTGCATCATCACTAAAAACACAAAATTAATAATTTAAAATAAGAAACAAGCTGTTTGAAATAAATAAAATAAAGCTAATAATTACTGACGAAAATTGAGTTAAATTACAGCAAATCATACACGAAAATTTAACATACTAACAACCAACATACCTATGGATGTGGATCAAAGGTAAGATTGATAATGAGATCATCGTGCGGCAAGTCCACAAATGCAAGAACTCCAAGGTGGTGCGTCTCTAGCCATGTGCAAGCCCTCATGCCCTCTGAAAATGTAACCTCACCGCTTAATATGAGGTCTTTTATTCTTGTCGCAGCTATTCTTGCCGCATCTAATTCATTGACCGCAGAGGGCTGAGAGTTGGACGCCGATGAGTGAGAATTGGATGCAGCCCTCTAACCTGAGGGGTATAGGCGGGGGAATTGCACAACATTCCCACAGGCCTGGCAGGCACCAAATGCATCATCTTGTCGTTTAAAATAAATTCCAGCAAAATTTCACGAAAAGAAGACTTAGGATAGGATAGTCAATTCTAACCTCAAGCCTAAAATCCTATTTTATTCCTGCTTAACCCTAAATCAATGTTTTATACACTCTAGATTTTGTAATTTTGATTGTTTGCTGATAAGCATAATCTTAAAATTCAAACATAAACAATGAATCTCATATTCCAACCAATAAAATAAAATAAAAATTTTGAACTCAATAATCTTGAATTAATTATCCAACAATATGCAAGCATTACAACAAGAACTAGTCAAGAACTTACCCTGCATCTAAACCGTGTCTTCAGGGATTTGGCTCTGCCATAGACCTGATAATCCTCGATCGTAATGTCCGGCTCTTGATTTAATATTCTTGTAATTTCCCTCCAAATGTCTCTGTCATCGAATCGAATTGGGATTCCATTAAGGTGACCTTCTGGAGACCACCTAATTTGGATTAATAGGTCTAATATCCTGTCATCGATAGGATCATCCTTCACGATGAAAAAATTTGTTAAAATTATTCACGAAAATTATAATCCTATTCCTTCTTGGAAATGCTTAATGCTTTGAGCACTTGCAAGCTTGAGATGAATGAAAATCTTTTTAGCTGCCTCCTTAATCCCTGGGTTTTTTTCTACTGTGTAACCGAAGTCGCTGCAGAAAATAAAAAAAAAAAAAAGAAAACAAACTAAGTTAAGTGAGAAAAGCACCACCCTAGTTGTTTTATTCTGCCTTCGCCAAACAAAATAATATGACAAAGATGAACAATACGATCGCCAAAGAATAGATGACGGAGGATCTTGAGGATGCATCATTCTCTACCTGCAAACAACTCATCAACTAAATCAGAAAGTGAAATACTACTCAACAATAAACAATCAAGAAAACATAAACCACTCAACTGCTAATCATGATATTTTATGTGAAACAAACATACAAAAGATGTCCTAGTACACTATTACTCACTATAGTCAATAAAAGGCCACGAATGATAAGTATCCAAATCAGCCACCTTAAGCAGTACCAAAAAAAAGTAAGATAGATAATAAACAAGGCAAGTCCTACCACTCTCGACTTTTTCGTCTCTGCATCACCTAATGCCTCGGAGCTCGCTCCCCTCTTAACTCCAGGACACGAAGACGAATCACAAAACATTGTAGGAGTTAAATCCAACTGAAAAGTCATTTAATTAGCTGGATTTAGAACTACTAATTAAAATAAAATCACGAGGTAAGAAAATTACACAACCAAACAACATTGTTAAGCAATCAAGACTTCACCATTGACAAGGAGACAGAGCAGAAAATAGATTCAAAATCAAAAGCATTCGGAGAAGAGAGTAACATAATATAAAGGAATTAGCTGAGAACGTACCACAGACATCTTTCACTGCGGTTGAAAACGCAAAAGCAACAAGGCGACGCCAACATGAAGCAAAATCGATCAAGCTCATGCGAAAAATATTCAAACGGATAAAATAAATATATAACTTTCAGAACACGAGAACACAGAACGCATACCTTGAATAGGGTCTGGGTCGGCAAATTTTCCAGCGAAGAAGGTGAAACGTTTGATGGAGAAGATGGTGGAATCCCAATGTATTAGACGGAGACCAATACGCGATACCCTAAAAGCATCTCCAAGTTATTTGTAGTAAATTATATTTTATTTATATTAACAAATTTAGGAATGACTCCACTTTTAATTCAACTAGTAGATATATTGTGCACGTGCACAAATGTACATATTACATAAAATTTCAGTAAGTAATATTTGAGAATTTAATATTAAAATTCTAGATAATGAACATATTACATTTTCAAAAATTTGATCATTAAGAAAATAAATTAACGATTTTATTATTATCATTAGATAATAACAGTTTGATTATCATTATTATTATTAAAAAACAATTGTTTATAAGCTTCTAAAGTTGTTTAACTATACTAGTAAAATAATTTACTAATTGTTTTTAAAGAAATTTTTTCATGAGATACAAAAGAAAAAGATAATATTGACGTTAATATAAATATTTGAAACAATTGTTTATAATTGTGTAATTTATATTTATTGTGAATTATTATTAGCAATAACTATTATATAATATAATTGAAAAATACATGATTACACTTAATAGGATGTGTTAATGTGAGAAGTAAAAAAATATTAATGATAAATTTTGTAGGAAAAAATTTAGAGGTTTTATTAAAAAAATAAAATTAAATGCTAAGCTAGCAATTATATATATATACTAGGAGGGTAGAGCTGTGCAAGGCACAGCTGGCCCAAGGTAATGTAGTCAATCCTATATGAAGCATGCAAAACATAAAAGATAAAATGTTGAATGATCAAAAGATGTTGGGAATATAGTAGTTAGTGACAATACACAAAAGCATAGTCATCAGCATAGGACTTGAGTATTTTCCTTTTACAGAATTGAAAAGCATCTAAATGTAAATAGATGCCTTTAATTCTGTTAAGGACTTGACTACAAAAATATGAGTTTTTTAGCTAGGTTTTTTTAACCTTTCAAACTTCTAATTTGTACACAAAAGAAGCATTCATTCTTCATTTTTATCCAGTCCAAAAGGCAAAAGTTGGAGGTGTTGAGCCAAAAGTCAAAAGGTGGAGGTGTCGAGCCAAAAGTCAAAAGTTGGAGGTGTCTAGATGTCAATCCATCTTGGGTCGACTTTTCTTTGAAGGGCTGGCAGGTGGATCTGTATGTGGTTGAAGATTGATCTGACTTGGTTTTGGTGAAGCTTGTTTTGGTGGTGTGGCAGTTGTGATTGAGGAGGAGGCCGTTGGTTGGCTTTCAAAGTTGATGCGTTTTTTAACCGGTGGTTCTGAACTTCCTATGTTTGGATCTTTCTCAATTTTCATGGCAACGGACTGAAGCACATTTTTGAGTGTTGGGGTGAAGAGTTGTTTTTCCACAACCTGTTCCATAAAATAGAAGAATTATGGTAAGTTATTTATTGAATATGAATGCCAAGAACTTCAAATGTATATTGGACCTGAGCTGATGATGAACTGGCTGCGGTTTTTTTGGAGGGTTGTTCTTCAAGCATATTCTTCTCGGTGCTCATGTCGTCAGTGGTATAGAGCTTTAGAATTGTATGATAAGCAGACTCGGTATACTTAATGAAACAGACAACACTGAGGTTTTCTATCAATGCTTCAATTTCACCTTTTAAGTCTTGGCCCTGCACAACCAAAGTATATTGAGTACAGTCATTTTAAGTGAGTGTAAAGTTTTTTAGTAGAAGCTAATATATTATATAAATCTGAATCTTTAGGTATACATAAAAGGAATCCAAATGTATAAGCACGCTATGTGGTGCTAAAGAAGACAAAAATATCTATTCTGTTGTTATCATTTACATAAACACAAGAATAGAAAAATATATAGGTGCGATTATTTTTGTTTCAACAATTAAGTTGTACATATAGCAGGGAGTGAAGATATTTAATAACTAATGTGTAATATTAATGACTACAACATATATATATATATATACATATATATATATATATATGTATCACTTTTATCATAAAAGAATTCAGCAAGGAGAATACTAACATTTTTCTCTGCTTCATACAAATCATGCCCGCTGAATGGGATAATTCTCTCTGCATCAGTCCCGTAGATCATTGCATATATAGTTCCTGTTGCATCTTTAATTGCCATTGGAATCCGACACCTATTATTTTAAATAGAAAAGTATTTATGAAACCATCATGTAAGATTATAGTGGTTTATTGTCATAATAGTATTATAGCAATATAAAAACTGTTTACCTTGCTTCAACGTAAGTATTTGCCTGGCAGCTTCGACATTTCATTGTCGTGTTTGGTGGCATATTATAATTCTTGTGGCAGTTGCTGCACGTGGCTGCCCATAAAGATTTGTTGTCGCCTGCAAGCTTGATTTTTCCGGTGACCCAACAAGTCTTGCTCTGAACCAGATATTGAGAATAATATATTTAAGCTTTTAAATTATATTTTTAGCATCTAATAGTTTAAGCAGTTGAATAAGCATTTACATCTTATATATAACACTGCATAGTTATCAAGCATAAACGATATTGAGAACATGTTTTTTTTTTTTTCATTCAGTTTAGTGTAAACGAAAAATTCGAAAAAAAATATTATCCAGATAGACTTCTTTATCGATTGCGTCACTGGGTCTAAAATGCATATAAAATTTACTGAGTACTTGAGACAACAAAAAGGCAAAAAATTTTAAAATTTTTTCTTTGCATTTGAATACTATGCTCTTTTAAAAGATATTAACTTGAAATAACTAACACGCTATAGAACGAAATTTACTTTGCCTATTGTGAAGAATTACAATGTGACTAATAAGTGTTGCCTTAAAAAATTTAGCCATAGATCAGAAAACATTAGTCACTACCCATGCATAATCGTAATCGAAGTTTCAGTTGCTTAAGATAAACACAAACATAGAATCCTTTCATCACCTTTTTTTAAATTGGCTAGGTTATAATATACATAGATTTAGGAGAATGGAGCCAATATGTGAGGCTTCACTGTAAATGCAATAACATGTATGTTTTTCTTAATTTATCATTCATAACGTTTAGATTTCAGATCTTACATATTTGATGGAGGTCAATGCGTTTTGCACAGTAATTATATCAGTGCTTTCAGGCCACGGGTATAATTTGTCTGTGTTCTTATATGCTCCTTCATCGATAAGTTTTGCAACGCTGTCTTTGTTCTGAATATACCTGCAACAGATTTTTGTTTATATAAATAGATATACATGTAAATATATAGGTTTATATGAGAATTAAGATTAGAACATACCACTGTTTGAGATCGGCTGCGGCAGGTATAGGTGGATTGACCATCAAGCAAGTCCCAACTTTAGTCGACAACGACAATCCTTGACGGCAAAAAAGTTGTTTTAAGTAAGTGTTTGTAGTGAAGTAAGTTGTATTTTTAACACTATTAATCTAAATCACACCATGAAATGTGCTGACTTTGCTTCTCATGGCGAGGACAATGTTAGCTGATGCAATTGTGTTAGCCAGCGTTTCACCTTCATCCTTGTTGAACTGATTCCATAGTGTAAAAAGCATTGGTTTCATTCTGCAGAACAGAAAAATAATAGTTAAAGAATGATATGCATGCATATATTTTGTTTGTGCTTGATTCATTTAAATATGTTCCTTACTCTTCGTTGATAACGATCAGTTCGCGTGTTGTGTTAGAACCAACAGTCTTTATTGGAAAAGCATGAACAACAACTGCAAGCAAGCCTGTGTATAGTTTGCAAATTCAGCAACTGTGAGTTTAACTTAGTCAGAAATGTTTGTTTTTTTAATGTTTTTAAATGAGTCTATAAAATACTTACTTCTGGGATTCTCCGTATCTGCATATTTATGCAAATTTGCAAATGGATGAATTTCAATTGAGCACGGAAGTTGTGGAGGCAGGGGTTCTTCATATTCTTCTACATTGGTACCTTTAACCAGATTCCACTTGTACTTGTAATCACCAACCTGATACAGTGGTATCTCTGGGCGTACTCTTGCTCCAGAAACATAAAATCTTTTGTATGGCATCAGCAACGGTGGCTTAAATTCCTGAATAACAGCGTTGTAAACAACTGCAGCAACTTTCGTGCCCTGTTATGCAAGCGTAATAATTTAGTAGTATCCAACTGAATCATTATTAGGTTAAATTAACAAAATAAATATGTTAAGTGATTGTGTACCTCTTCATCTGTAAATAAGTATCTGCGATAATGCATTGTTGAATCATTTTTGCTCTCGTGAACGGGTGGCCTCTCAACAACCTGGATAAGCGCAGTCCAGTTTTTGGTGGCATCTGTAATTTCTTTAATCGGCAGACATATCCTCGACATCGTCACCTATAAAAATTTGTGATAGAAGCCGTAGACAGTTAGCAAAAATATTAGGTATTTAACATAACTTCATTTGTGCACAAATGATATCATGTTTGTCAAAGAAAATTAAACTGCATCTAAGTACATTGTGTTACTGAAGCTGCCTCAAGAACTTCATTGTAGACGACGTTTTTCGTGATATCAAATTCATGTGGGTTGAAAAAAGGCGGTTTGATTACAAACTTAATGGCCGATGATTGTTTTGCACGAGACAACGCTACATATAATTGTCCATGTGAAAAAACTGGTTCCTTTAAATAAATACCCACTGATTCTAGTGTTTGACCTTGAGCTTTATTAATAGTCATAGCAAAACATAGTCTAATAGGAAATTGTGTTCTTGTGTAAGCCACAGGCACTTGGTCATCAGTGGAAGGTTTTAATGGAATTCTATGAATAAAAACATTTTTTCCTTTGAAGTCTCCAACAGCTATTTGTGCATGGATAATGTTTCGGCTTAATTTTTTGCATATGAGTCGCGTTCCGTTACATAAGCCTTCTGTAGGATCTAAATTTCGAAGTAGCATAACAGGGGCATTAACTTTTAACTGTAAATTATGAGGGGGCATTCCACCTGGGGTCAAAGAATTGATTATATCTTCATAAAGACCTTTATGGATAGGATTAACTACTTCATCAAAACTGAGATATTCAATCATTTCACCTGGAAAAGCATTAATCAATTTATTATTTATTTCATCGACAAAACAATTTTTAGTAGATAAGATTGCTCTGTTCATTTGAAAAGTGGGATTTGTGTCATTCTGGTCATCGATATAGTTGGCATTTTGTACAGGATCAGTCTGAAAATTAGGATAAATTGTAGCAATTAGTTGTTCAAGAGAATCTTCTGTATTAGCATTACTCAATATAAGTGAAGGAGGTAAACGAACTGAATTGTTTTTACATGTGGGTTCTACACCATTCCCTATTCGTAACAAAAATTTTGTAAATGAAGGGTCAAATCGGGCTCTCATATTTTCTGTTAATCGAATTTTTTCTAGTATTGGCCAAATATAGGAATTTGTAATGCATGCATTTATGGTATCATGTTTATTTCCCTTGCGAACCACAGGTAAAATTTGTCTAAAATCGCCGCCAAAAACAATAACTTTACCACCAAAGACTTCAGATGAGTCTGTTAAATCTTTGAGCATACGATCAAGCGCTTCTATTGACGTTTTTTTAGCCATTGGTGCTTCATCCCACACAATTAGTTTGCTTTCACGTATTAAGTTTGCTAAATTACTTTGTTTGCTAATTTTACATGAATTTCCCTTTGATAGATCTATTGGGATTTTAAATCGTGAGTGCGCTGTTCTACCACCCGGTAATATTGAAGCGGCAATACCTGAAGTAGCAGTTGCTAAGGCTATATAACCTTTTGATCTAATGTCAGCCAATAAAGCCCTGTAAAGAAAAGTTTTTCCCGTACCACCTGGGCCATCAATAAAAAATGCTCCAGGTTTTTCACTATACACACGCTCTAATATGATCGTAAAAGCTTGTTTTTGGTCTTTATTAAGCAACGATATAGCATTTAAATCTTCTTGACAAACTATAATATTTCTTTCAGCAATTATTTCTCTATTATCTTCTTCAATATGCAAGTTCAAATTATCTGGTAAGATGTTAAATGAATGAATACTTTTTCCCATTGATTCTAAAAAATCATTTATTTGTTGTAAAACTTTTTTTTTAATATCTATGCCACTCAAGTTTGAGTTCCTCGAAAAATCTTCAGACATAGCTTCTTCGAATTTATAAAATAAATCTTTAGGGTTGTTAGGACATGAATAAACAAGTAAGTTAGCAAATAGTCTCCTCATTTCATATGGCATTTTAAAGACTACAGCTTCTTTTAGACATTGTTCTTGTGTATTATCATCTTGTAATAAGCCTCTTAAAAGAGCAGCTTCATGATTTGACTTGGCAATTTTTCCGTTAAAAGATCTGATATCTTCAAAGGATTTTGGGCATTTAACATGAAGTAGAAGAAGTTTAAGATAATACCTATCTCCCTCATTAGGATGGACTGTTACTATTCGACCTATTGAATCTCTTCCACCTCTCTTTTTCCATTTTTTTTCCTCAGGTAGCCAAACAAAGTATTCAGGAAATTTGACGTACGGTAAATTTAGTTCTTGTGCATATGAATCTGTTCTATTCATAAAAAAAAATTCTGTAAGCATAGTTCTATGATTTCTTGGGTTATTAATTATGCTTTGTAATCTATCTTTTTTTCTGTAATTGATTTTTTGATAGTTTTCTAAATGGACTGGTAAATTAATCACTGCAGGCTTTATTTCACTAATTGGAAATCGGAAAATCCTCCATGCAGCCTCTGGTGGAGAAACCCAACGTGCAGTTCTATATTGTTCTATTTCATCTACCTGTATATTTTGATTAGATGTGTCTATATGAAATGCAATTTTGTCGTGGCCTTTACAAATATACTTATAGATGTATTTAACAGCTCGTATGGTGGAACAAATCTCTACATTAATATGACAATTAAACTTTGCAAGTAAATATGGGTTATATGGAACCACCCATCTATTATCTAACATATGGCCTCTAACTTTTACTGTAACATTATTATTTGGACGTTGATACTTTGGATATGAATTGCTTACCTGTAAAGTTCGGTTACAAAATTGTTTTGGATAGCTAAACCTACATTTATTTTTTTTTGTCATGCAAGAATTATTTTCATTCAACTCTCCACAAGGTCCATGCATCATATGTTTTTTGACCATATTGTATAAATGTGGAGTTAAATGTTTATTCGGTATTTCAGCACTGACTATTTTATCAAATTCTTCAGGTCTATACATTTTGTCCTTGTTTGCTAGTATGATTAACATATGAGCATGTGGGAGACCTCTTTTTTGAAATTCTATTACATATGTATATGCTACCACTTCTCCAAAGATATGTTTTTTTATAATATCTTTTTTTAATTCTTCAAGTTTGGCACGAAAAACTCTAGCTATTAAATCTGGCCGATTCTGGGTTTCTTCGTTTTGTTTCAATATTTCTTTTATTTCAGGCCAATTAGGATTACATGTCATAGTTAAAAAGATGTCGGGTTTCCCAAATCTTTGTACTAATGTCATTGCGTCTAAGTATCTTTTTTTCATATTTCTCGGCCCCCCTATAAAACCAGCTGGCAAAAAAACTCTTTGTCCAATTTTTGATGCGTTTGTTTCTCCTGCAATTAGACTGTCTTGAATGCCTTGCAAAAATTCTTCTCTAATTTCAGTTTGTTGATTCTTGAAAAAGTCTAATCTTTGTGACTCAATTTTGACATATATATCTACTATATACTGCTGAAATAATCTCCCAAAATTTAACAAACATGACCCATCATTATCTCTTATTTGTAATTTGTAGGCATAGTAATCTCTCATCGAAATAAAATTTCGACCCCCAACCGTGTTAAAATTCACTGAAACAGAATATAGTATATATGTTAGAACCATCTTATCGAAGTAACTACTTTTGTATCTACTTATACTGCAACAATTAAAGTTGTAGGTATTTGTTTATGAACTTACCATTTTCAGCTTCAAGAAAATCTTCAGCAGATTCCATAGCTGAAGGTGAAATTAATTGAACTAATGTAGGATTTCGTGATGGCTTTTTCGAAATAGTAGCTCCTAATTTTTCTATTCCTTGATGCCATCCAAGCTCGCCAAAAGGGAAAAGTAAAGGATACTGAAGGGGATCATAGCAACCAAAATAGTATTGTATTTTATGCGGAATGCCACTATGGTTATATATTCTTATATTTCTTTCAGATGGTTCTTGATTATCTTCAGTTTCAAGCCATAATGCAGCTACTTGAGAAGTTTGTGGTTTGTTATAAATTCTTTGATCAACTTCAGGAAAAGTCTTCAAAATGATTTTATAATCATCCAAATTTGTTATGTCATTAAGTGTTCTGAAAAATTTGGCGTATGGATTGTCTCTAAGAACATACATAACCTTTTCAATTATAGACTCGGATATTCTAGGGCATGCTTTAAATCGGTTGGAAACTTCATGTTCGGTATCATGAAAATATAATTGTAAATTCTCGGATGCTTCTAAATCATTCAAGAAATGATACATTTGGCCTTGTATTTTGAAAGTATAAATTCCTTTATTCCGTTGTGTTAAATTTTTATCGCACTTCACTCCCAAAGATGTAAATGCAAATTGATTATTAATAGTTCTTATACAATCTCTAAATAATTTGGCTTCCTCTGTCGCTGAAAATAAAAGTTCTTTAAGAATATCTGGTGTTGAGTTACTTGCCAGTCTTATATTGCCATCCGAACAGCAAAACTTACTTGTTTCATATTGAAATTTGAGGGCACCACAATAAGGGCATTTTTTACTATTAGTTGATACAAAAGCCTCAGCTGCAATGTCATCCAAAATCCCTTGGCACACTTTTTTATGTTTACCTATAATTCAAATGGCAATGCAAATGCAAATCTATTTAGTTTTTGTTGAGCATGTAGACTTTGTAAGTTTTTTAATCAATTTGAAAATGACTATGAAAATAAACTGTACCTGTAGACTGTGATGTTTTATTACCCGGGAAACCTGTTGTGGGTATGTTATCATTAGAGCGCAAATCTATGCACTAAAGTAATCCAATTAAATTTTTTTAGAAACACTAAAAAATTTAATGGAAACTATTACCTGTAGGTTGTGAAGAAGATGGTGCATTTTCATTAACTACATGCAGATTATGTAAATTAGCGTCGCCTTGAATTGAAGTTTGTAGCATATATGGATTACTTTTGTTTGCAGTTGAAGTGTGATTTTCCAAGTGAATACTTTTATATGTAGGAAGAGGTTCACCGTCATTACGACCACAATCCTTATCTTTATTTAGAGGTGGATGTTTTTGAGTAAATGACTGTTTATATCTTTTAGCTTTCCATTTTTTAGTAGCGTTTGAC